CCCCCCACCACGACCCAACCGCCTGCGCCGAGGCGAGCCGCCCGGCCCCAGACCAGAGCCCCTGCGAGGTAGGCAAAACGGTAGAAAAGTGCCTCCCATACTACTCAAATATCTTACTTTGCTGTTGCAGACATACAAGTGTAATTAAGCAGTTGCACTCATGATAGTGTATCAGTGTAATATACACACTAACTACTGGTAAAGTACTTTTTTATCGTGTAAAGTGATTCATGCGTGCTCAATTATGCACAAAATCAGATAGACGCATGTATATTTTAAGGCTATAAAATGAAACTACATTTATAATGAATGGACGAATTTAACATATTTCTGGGTGTTCAAATGGGCTGGTGAGCTGACGAATTGCTCGAGTTCGACGCAAATTATGGCTGAGCGCAAATTTTCGCTAGTTGTTCGCGCGGGTCAGTGCACAACGAGTTGGCGAGTGGGTGGGGCACCTCTCGTTTGAAATACCATCTTACATTCGGTTCTGCCTTATCTGTCCAGGCACCAACAGCTACTGTCAAGTACACTTACGAAGGCCAGAAGGACTTTCTCAAGCAGATGAATCAAGCAAAATCTATTGATATGCTTGACTTGACAGAACTCAAGAGGATGTCAAGCAGCTTCATTGGAAACTGGTATCCAAAATGGAAGCCTTGTAAGAAATTGGACATTGTTACCAGCTCTATCTTGGCCGCTACAGATGATGTCAAGGTGGGTTCGATTATTTCGGTAGTTCATAAAGCAGGAATCTTCTTTCGTCAAGTGGAGTTGCCTGCTCCACTTCGCTTCGCTGGCAACTCTGTTCGGAAGGGGCTGGGTGCCTAGTGGCATGGTCCTTCCCCTGCCTTGTGCACCAGGACTGGTGTGGTGAGGCATGTTGGGGCGTGGGGTTAACAAATTTGTTTCTCCTAGGCAATATATCACTTTGCAGCCCTTTTGGGCATTGAATATTCTCCGTTCACTGCTAAAACAAGTGTTTAATGTTAAACGTCAATTGGTGTTTAAGTTCAAGTGTGCATTTTCTCAACACATTGTGGTGTTTAACTGGGCTAAACGTTAATTGGTGTTAAAACTGTAAACACTTCCGGACCGGAAAGTATAGCAGCTTCACGCCATATGGTTCTTATAGATTTGTGTGTGTCCAAATGTGCAGAATCTAAACGTTTACGAAACATTTAAAATGTGCACACGCAAGTGTGCAAATTGAGCTAAACGCCATGTAATGTTAAATCATTACTTAAATAAGTTGCTGTTTAAATTATGCACACTTGTTTTTCCAGTGTTTTATGTTGTAACTAACTCCTTGTTGTGGTAATCGGGTAACTAACTCCTTGTTGTGGTAATCGGATTCTATCACTTGAAGACTACCTTATTGGGTTGATCAGCACGACGAAGTCTCTATTCTGTGTGTGTGTGTGTGTGTGTGTGTGTGTGGTGTGGTGTGGTGTGGTGTGGTGTGTGTGTGTACATTAAAAGGCCGAGTTGGTGACACTACGGATCTGTGTGGATGAAATGATGAAATTAACCCTGCTGAATGGGATGAACTGCCCCTCTGCTAAGCCCTTTTTGATGTCTTGACCAGCGCAAATCCAATGTGCCCCCACTGTACTCCTACTCCTGTTTACACTAAGAAGTCGACTTCACTACCCCTTGGTCGTACCAGTGTACCCGGTGATTTACAATGTTGCAGGCCCTGGATCTGGGTGATGGCGAGTGGGCAGGAGAGGACAAGTATGCGCAAGATCTGGCGTCTATGCTGAGGAAGTACAAAGCGACCCTTAGGGAAATCCGAGTGGCCAAGAGTACCCTAATTGACCGACACGAGACAGTCGCGAGTCTCAACAAAAAAGGGCGTCAGTCGAGACACGCCCAGATAAAAATATCGAAGGTGAGAGTCCCTTCTTTGTAGGTAAATGTCGGAAATTTCGAAAGAAATCCGTCCGAATAGTTCCGAAAGATGATTTTCAAAACGTTGTTGGATAAAAAGTTGTTGTATTTTATTTATTTTCTCAAATTTCCGAACAATATGGAAAACACCATTTAATGCTATTACCAGTTTTAAGAGCAACAAAAAAAGAGAACGTTTCAATTAATTCGGAAAATGTTCATCAAAAGTTGTCGAGATTTTTCTAGTTAACTGTTGGTTTCAAGAACTTTTACAGTCCTTCGATTGAATGATGTTTCGAAAACTGTTTGTATTTTAATTTTTTTCAGGGCCAGGGGTCGGGGGGTGGGGGTGCAAACTGTCTCGAAACACATTTTTCGCAGTGTTGTCGCGAGCACCTTAACAAAACCTTATCAAAGTTTTTGCTTCCCTGTTGCAGTGTAACATTATGGGGCTGGTTGCTGGATTGCCGAAATTAACCACCTTAAAGCTCACTCTGGATACTTCGCACTGCGAAAATTCGGAATACAACGGGGAGTTCAATGCCGCCGCGAAAAAGAAGCTGTTTTCCAAGGTTAATCAGCTCGAGGTGTTTCTGACACCCCGATGGATCGAGTGGCACGTTGGTGGGGAGGTTGTAAATTGCGACATGGATGCAGCGAATACATCAAATGATGAGGACGAGGGTCCCTCATGTTCCAAAAGGTAAGACTTCGCTTGGAAATGCACTCTCTAACGAAATTTTCGCTGTAAGCCGGGTTCGCGGGGTTCGTGCCTACCAAATGTAATTTTAAAACAATGCATGTTCACACCGAAACGTTTCTCGGCACATCCACACCTGATAAAAGGGAAAAGTGTGTTCTAGAAACAAGTAGTCCCATTATCTGTGGTGTCCCTCCGTGACCTCACAAGGTGGTCCGCCTCGCGGTGTCCTCGCGACCTCCGACCTCGCGGTGGAAGGCCTCGCGGCGGAGGCAGCGCAGCACCGCGAGTTTACAAAGGATGTTTTTACCCCATTTGTGTGCCCTTGAAATGGGTTATTTACTAAGATTTAATTAACTTATCGCCTTCTCAAATTTAATTGTGAAGTGTAACGGAAATTTTTTTAATTTGCTCTCGGCAAATTCATAGGAAACGAGTGGAATTGTGGGAACTCCCTATATTTTTCAGGTGGCGTCGAGAGACACAGGAAGACCAGATGGCTTCAGATCTCCTGAAGTATTACAAGCATGTGATCTCACACTTCGATATGGCGGACTTCCCGAAGACGAAGACAGATCCACCCATCCTCGGCCTAATTAGTGGGCTCACTGCCCTGCGCTCAGTAGTACTCAGAGCAGAAATGCTTCCCGCTGTAAGGTCAGTAACCTGGAATTGCATTTTACTGTATGCTATGGAATTTCAGTTTCCAGGATGTGGCTTGTCACCCGTTTACTGTTTAAATTGTACTATGTGATGACACTTTGTCAACAGTGGACTCCCGCAGCTCCAGACAATAGAGCTGCATGTGAGTGGCCGCTTATCACGTGAGATCGTCGAGTCACTAGTGGAGCTGTTTGCGACGAAAGGTCCATTGCAAAACATCAAGCATCTAGATATCAAAGTGAAGCAGACTCGAATTGAAGACCATGTAAGTAAATACACTGGCTTGTTTTGCGATACTTTTAACCAAAATCGTACGACAAGGTAGACGCACGTTAAAACCGTGTGAAGCTGAGCTAAATGTGTGTCTACCTTGGCCTGCGGCGCGCTAAAATTAAAATGTTTTCGCGATTTAGGTTGGCATGCCTGTCCACCTCGCATCTCACGTCTCACGCCAGGCGCCTCACTTCACGCCGTCTTCCGGGCGGTCTCCCCTTGCGTTTCCTGACAGAGCTGAGCATTTAAAGTTAAAGTTTAATTTCAAGTTCAAGTTAAGCTCAGCAATAACTGGTGTTTTGCGATTCCATTGCTAAAGGGCATCCTAACATATTTGCAATAAAAAGTACACACAAATAGTATCATTGAAAACGAAGCTTAACTTCACTGATCAACCGCTTGGAAGTTTCCAGCTGGGTAGTTGTGCACTTGTTAGTGTGGAACTCTTCAGTTGAACACTTCTCTAGATCGCATGATTGCAGGCTTACTATAAGCGAAGTGTTTAACAGAGGAGTTGCAGAGTTACAAGTGCACAAATTCAACATGTTCAACACATGAAGGTGTTCCAATGCATTGAACACTTTGAAGTATTTAACTTGCAGTTGCACACTTCCAAGTGTTGAGCATTCAAACACTTAGCTAATTAGTGAATTTTTGTCACACGTTTTTGTGATAACAAGTTATCACACTGTTTTTCCATTGATTTAATCATTTAGCATATAGCCATAAGAGTAGTGGCCTGTGAAAGCCTATACAATTTTGTCTCATTTGTCTTTTGTGATATGACCAGTCGATCACGAATGACGATGTAGATTCGTCTGCATGGTTGAGAAATCGATTTGTCATAACCCTGCGCTCCCTTGTTCCTAACTTTGGTTAGTTATCGGCCTCCTTCTCTCTGCAGGTGAGCGCGCTGCTGGGCGCCGTCGCCGGCCACTGCCGCCGCCTTGAGGTGCTCAAGCTGACGGCCAGCGGCTGGCGCGAGGCTGACCTGACTGCGCTGCTGGAGGGCGGCGCGCCCCTGCGGGAGCTTCACCTGTCGCGGTGCGGCGCGGTGCTCCCCGCCCACCTGCCGCTGGTGGCTGCGCTGCCGAAGCTCGTCACTCTGCGACTGCCCAGCCGCCTCTTGGGCAAGCCGGGGGCCGACGCGGTCGCCGACCGCCGCGGCCTCGACCTGCGCTGGGAGTTCTAGTGACATGACGCGGCGGTGGACTGACGCAGCTGCGCCACGATTGAGGATGAGTTAATCTTCAATTTCCAAAAATGTTGACGTAGTGTGATAAATGATGACCTGGTGCATTCTCGCAATGTTTTGGACTTTTAGTAAAGTGTTTAATTATTTTTTTTACTATTTCGGTTATGAAATAACTACTCATTTAATTAACTGACATTTGTATCGTCAGAATGCCCTCTGATTTAATAATGAAGTGTATTTTCCTACATTTTGTTCAGTACCTTTTATATGTTGATATTCTCAATACAGTCTTGGAGTATTCTCCGAATTACTTTGTTAAACGAAATATTAAATGACACTAGTTAAGTACTAGTATTTTCTCAATTGCGTTTCGTTACCTTATGCGTTATTCTCATGTTGTGCATACGAGCTTGCAGAGTTTTCAACAGGCATGGGCTGCTCAATTGCACGCGTATTTATGTTCACGTTGTGGCTAGTTTTCCCTAGTTTTGTACAATTTGTACATTACTCCACCTAAAAGCTTCGCCTACGTGGGGCTGCATAAAATCCTGCAACTCCTTGTACAGTCAAAAGCAATATGTGTGCTTTGGATAATCGAGCGTACTTGAAATTCACGGGCAAGTAAGCTTCACGACGTTCCACAAGATAGAGCTGACTTGCGTGGTTAAAGAAAGTGTGTACGCCAGAAACTTCTTTCTAAACGCAAGGTATTTTTTTTAGTATTGTTTTTTGGGCTAGGGGGGGGGGGGGTTGAACCGTACAAGTACCACGACAGTTTTTTTATCCGCCGTTTACTATATGGCAATTTTGCAAAGTAATATCAAAGATTGAGTTCACTACGTCAGCGACTCGAGACAGTGCGTCATCCGTGTTTGTCCGCCCGACCGCACCAGGGCAGGCAGAGCCGCCTAACACGCCTGCACGGCGGGTCTGCCGAGCCGAGCCCTGACGGGCGCTTTGCTGCGCCAATAACGAAGCAAACCGGAACGAGCTGCCCAGGCCGCGCTTTCGCCATGCTCACAAGGGAACCCCGCCAAGTGTAAATTCCCGATTTTCATTCTACTTTGGGAAATTGTTGGTCTAAATATGTCATCGAAGGACACATCAAAGATTTTTGCTTAAATTCATATTTAGGGGTCATTTTGGGTATTTGTTCAAAAAGCTGCAATTTCAATTATTTTTTATAACTTTCAAGAATGCTTCCTAAGGGGTAACTCGTCAAATTGCGGCCCTTTTGGGCGAAAATTTCGTCCGTTTTGCTCTATCTGAAGCCGTTTAGGCGCTACCGCCACGTTTAGGAAGGGAAATGTACGGGAATCACTAGGGCTTAAGAGCAGCGGTTGTAAAAAGCAGTCCCACAAAAAATGTTATAAAACAAATGTTGTAGAAAAATATAAGCTCTTTAACTTTTGTTTTATAACATTTTTTGTGGGACTTCTTTTTACAACCTCTGCTCTTAAGCCCGAGTGATTCCCGTACATTTCCCCTCTTAAACGTGGCGGTAGCGCCTAAACGGCTTCAGATAGAGCAAAACGGACGAAATTTTCGCCCAAAAGGGCCGCAATTTGACGAGTTACCCCTTAGGAAGCATTCTTGAAAGTTATAAAAAATAATTGAAATTGCTGCTTTTTGAACAAATACCCAAAATGACCCCTAAATATGAATTTAAGCAAAAATCTTTGATGTGTCCTTCGATGACATATTTAGACCAACAATTTCCCAAAGTAGAATGAAAATCGGGAATTTACACTTGGCGGGGTTCCCTTGTCAGTTGGAAGCTTCACTTTGCCTTCGTCAGAGGCCTGTGGGCAGGGTTTGGTCCATCGTTTGTTAGCGACTTAATCACTTTTTCCGACTCTTTTCATTGTCTGAGGCTTGCCGGCGGGCTTGCGGCCGTGCTCCTGTGACATGGGCTATACTCCAAGCGCGCAGTAAGGGAGAGGCACGGAGTATCGTCGAACCCACCCCCTACTCAGCGCCACCCTTTTCGCGGCTGCAGAGTATTCCCAGTGCGGAACTACTCCCAGTGCCAGTCTTCCACGAGGAAGGGGGAGCACGGGGTATTCAAGATATCGGGACACAGTTAAAACTGCAATTCTTCGTAACATAGCAAAATTCTCGGAATCGGAGCGTATGTTTTGATTGTACTAATTTATTTAACACAAGATGTGGGGATTTTTCAAAGCACTTCGCCCGGATTCCAATTAAATCTCTGGACAGCTGTTCATTTACATAATTTATTAACCAGTCAAGGAGGCTATGCTTGACAAATTTGCGTGTTTGGCGAGAGCTTTAACATATGTTCTAGGAAGCCAAGCAAGGTGTAACTACTCACGATTACAATTGTGATCTGCATTAATGCAGTTGCAAAATTGCCCAGTTAAAGGGAACACTTTTGTTCATGCTGTGTTAAATTCGACACACAACTCATGATCGATTAACAAACCCAGGAACCCTTAAGACAGATGCCTGTTCCAGGTACATTTGGGTACTTGGTCAAGCTGGCGAATCCGTTAGCCAGGTCGCTCTGGCTAGAAAGTATCAGGCGCTGGGGGCGGGCAGCGCCGGGGAACAGGCCCTCGACCTCTTTGCTATGCGTATAATTCAGTTGATGTTATCATGCAGAACACGTCTTTAGCAACAGGGCACCACCCGAGCAGACATGCACAGGTCAATAAATTGGGCTGGCCCTGCGGCCAATCAATAACTTTCAGGGCAACCCTGTGTTGTGCCGATAGGAGGGTGTAAAGCAGCCCACCCACGACACAGGTGCATGGCCCAAGGCAACGCAGAGGCTCCTGCTTGACGACCTCTAGGTTAAAGTTGACATACGCCATTTGTACGCATTATTTGAAGTGTACATGCTATGTATCCCTCAATTAATGTATACCAGGCGGCTGATTAACCCCGCGCACTTCTGTAGTTAGACTGTACCGCATGCATGAGTGCGGGCGGGCTTGCCTATCGCCCCTGTCCACGGCGCCTTACGGGCCGGGCGGAGTAGGCAACCCGCCCGCACTCATGCATGCGGTACAGTCTAAGGGAAGGTGGGGTAGATTGGGACGGATTTTTTCTTTTTGCTGTAGGTCGGAGATCATGCATGTTGGAATGACCGGTACTGGCTAGAATTGTACATTAATATGTGGCCTATCACAGCCTATATCGTCCTGATTTTTTATCTCATGCTCTTTGGCTGTAGAGAGATTCCCCCGAAATGTGTCACCTGTCCCAATGTTCCCGGGCACGGGGCACATTGGGACACCATAAGAATACATAAGATGGGGCACATTGGGACAGTTGACGCGCTTTCCTGTGAAATATCAGCATACGAACCGCCTTGCGGTCTGGAAGCCTAAATAGGCCAGTTATCTACAAGATTTTTGGATTTTTTGAGGGGTTACATTGAGCACTTTTGGTGTACTGTCCCAGTGTGCACTTAATTGCCTTCCCTGTGATTTCTTTCTTTTTCTTCGGTGTTTTGGGATTCAACTCAGAATCCTTACTTGCAAAATGCGTCGTAAGGAACTACCTACTGACCAGCCACTTGCGCGATTTTCTATCTCATTCCAGTTCGCGTAGAAAATAGAACAATAAAATAAGAAGGTACCTTACTTTTAACAGATTTTTGAGCTTATCGTATTTTGATATTTTCTGTACATCAGACATGGTGTGCAATCTTCCCAACACCGATACCATCATGAAATATGCTAACATTGGCTACGTGTCAATTTTTTTCAGCACGTAAATACTGTTAGAAATATGTGATATTGCTACTGTCCCAATGTACCCCGTGTCCCAATCTACCCCACCTTCCCTTAACTACAGAAGTGCGCGGGGTTAATTAGTCACCTGGTACATGTAATGTACACTTTATTTAAAGGATACAATGTACACACTTGACTTGGCAGCGTAGTTCATACTGTAGAGCACCGCCGTGAATACACTCGCAAAACAAATAAAGACAGTTGCACATCAAATCTGTGTACTTTTCCAATGTGCAAATTTCGTGTGCACAAAGCAACAAGTGTGTAATTTTTCTCACTTGCAGTCTGATTTTCACTAATTGGCACACTTCATTCTTCTTAGACATAGCATTCTAAGTAGTGCATTACCAGTAAGTTCTTCGGCATGCCAGGAAAATCGCTTTGAACATACCCTCATGTACGGGGCCATTTCCTCTGTTTATCGTGAAACATTAGCAGGACAAGGGTCTCACCTCAATGTGCCCTGAAGCCGTGCACTGGGAGAAAAAACGACGGAAAATCAACGGACAACAGCGGCAATAATTTTCCGGACGTGTCCGTACCCTAAATTTAGTTGTACGGTCGACGCAAGACGTGGTTCCCGGTTCTCCCGTACCTCATTTCTGGGGTACGGAGCAACCGTATCACGTATTTAATGGATATAAGCGGCAATTATTTTCCGGACGCGTCCGTACTCTAAATTTAGTTACATGGTCGTACCCAAACGGTTCTTCAGTACGTACCTCTTTTCTGAAGTATGCTATAACGGAATGTCCGTCGCCAGTCCCGTAGTGTCAGATGATTTTTTACAGAGTGCATCATGCAATTCGCATAGTTGGCTGGGCACAATGTACAGCAATAGATAAAAAAAAAACAAAAAAAAAACAGGGCGATGACAGCGGACTGCTACCGGGGACGAACAGAACGGACGCCACGGAGAAAACGCCCGCCCCCACAGAGAATCTATATTATCATCGTCAATCGGCTTATCATAACTGGAACGTTAATCGGCTATCTTTATCAAAACTGGCAACTTTTACCTTCGGGTAGAGACAGACCACAAGGGACTGTCTATAAAAATGTCTCGTACCGTTTCGAGTGACGCGACGCGTGGGGCCTGCCAGCAGAATCACCGTCCAGGAAGGCTAATCCCGCTGCCCGCCATGAACCCGCATCTGCTGGCGCCAATTATGATAAACGCCCACCCCATCCCCCACCCCTGGCCGCGCCACCCCCACCCCTGGCGGGCCGGGCAGGCGGGTCTGGCCTGGCGGGCCGGTCTGGCTGGAGGGGTTGTCCGCGCAGACGGCGCTGGTTGTCGGAGGCGCGCGGACACGGCGCGCGAGAAACCCTCACCAGGACTCTACCCTTTTCCGCGCAGAGGCGCTCGCGTGCGCTGAAACTGTGTCGTGTCGTGCCGCGCGTGCTTGCGCTCCTCGGGGAGGACGCGAAGAGGGCCCTGCTGAGGGACCGCAGCAGCCGAGGCCAGCCGATGAGCGGAGCCGAAGACGCGTCGAGGCTGTGCCGAGGCCGGGACAACAGGTGGATTACCTCTCGTGGATTACTTCTGCCAACGATGGAGCTTGCCGACTGAGCTTGTAGGACTTCAGCCGGTGGTCG